TTGCGAATACAGATTGCATTTTCGATCTGTATCTATAGCTATATCAATATTTATATCTATATCTATATCATCTAGCTATCAATCTATCTATCTATCTATCTATCATCTATCTATTTATCTATCTATCTGGATGGATATGTAGCCTACAAGACAATGACCATACATGGTTAAAGGGAAAAGTGTAAGCCGCCAAAGTAATGTTTACTTAGGTAGAATCGTAGCATCCACATTTTATTTCCATCCAGAATCATATTCAGCTCTGACCCTAAGTTACTGCTGTTCCCAAGGACAGTGAAACAAAATACCCCTTCCTGGCTGCAAGAGTTTAATACAAACTGTCAGATGATGGGGGCAGAGAACACAGCTGAGGGAACAGACTTGCATTAGTGAAGAAAACATCCCAAAGAGGTATGATAGTATAAGAAGAGAAGACAGTGTTCAAAAAGAAAATTTGGCCTAGTAAATGTGAAGATCTAATTGGCTTTATTAAGCAATTCATGAACGGGGACGGCAGTCTGAGGAATTGTTCAAAACGGAAGGTTTATATAGGAATAAGAGTGGGGCAAGGGAGCTATTAACAAAAGGAAATAATGGATTATTTTTAGACAAAAGCAACTTCTTTGGAGAGAAGGGAACTGCAAGGGTTCTTATCATGCAGATTGTTTCTTCTCTCTGGGAGATAAAGAGGGCCCAAGTGACAGATTACCTCATTGGTGTTGACCAGAAAGTTCCAGAAGAGGTTGAAGAGGTTGAAACAGCAATAGGTCAGGTATTAAGTCTAGGTTGGTGTCTTGAGCTTTAAGCATGCATGACGCTATTTTGGACCTGTGGTTTTCTCTTTAACGACAGTGTTTTGCAGCAATACTACAGTAAAGTAATGCCTCCTAAATTGTACAAGCGATTCAATCTGCTACTTAAAATATGGTTTTTCAATCAGCATCTGAGTAGAAAATGAATAAGATTTCTGAAACAAGGAAGCAACGTTCCCATGTAGCACAGTGCAGTTCAAGAACAGTACAGCACACACAGTAGAGCGTTAGAACATGGATGAAACAAGAATGTAAGCCATAGAAAAACATAGCCTTTGAAACGTCCCCTAATGAGAAAGTAATATGAAAACTTTACTGAACATAACTTATTATCTGCTTTATATAAATGGCTGTGAACTATATAGTCCACACCTCTCTCATGATGTGCCACTTACAGGAAGTACAGTAATGCCTTGGTTTGCGAGCATAATTCATTCCGGAAACAAACTACTCGTATTGCAAGACATCGCTCATTTACCACGTTAAAATGTATTAGAAAAGTTTGCTCGTCTTGCAGAACACTCGCAAACCACGTTACTCGCAATCCAGGGTTTCATTGTATTGTATATTAAAACTGGGAAAAGGTTTTTTTTTGCTGCAACAAGACATGTCTTTATTTGGATGGACTAATTGCTTACACATAGTCATTTGTTCTTAGAATTTGGTTTTGTGACGTTCAGCCAGGAAAATGCTTTATTTCAGGGTAGCAAGAATTAGCAATGAGCAGGGTAATCAGCGATGAGAACTCGTGTCCCCAGCAGAGGCCAGAGGCCATTGCACACAGGGGAAAAGATGGCACATACGCAGTGTTCTCATTTATTTGCTTCAAGTGCTGTGTACTAAGTACCAGAACAAGTACTACTAGGACAGAGCAGAGAGTCGCAGTAAATAAACTGAGCGGTAAATGAGAAGAAGTCACATAGGCTTTTGTTTCTTAAGGTTTGGACTTTACTGGGAAGATCAGCTGTTTCAGAATTTCTGTTTAGAACAGCGGAGCCTTTTTGTGGTAGGTGGTATTATTTATTCACCACCTCCCACCACTTAGCAAGCTTCTTTACTATGTGACTTTGTAGGCCAGTGCCACTTGAGCACACAGGACATGAGCAAACTCTGCAGTGTGTTTGTATGACACATTTGTGACCTGTCCCTGGAGCTTCTGTGAGCTTCATGAGGAAAGCAGGCCACATATAGCCACTGACAGTGGGTAGAAACACAGGTGGAGGAGAGCTGACAGACCCACCGTGAAACTGCCCCAACCAATCCAAGAAACTATGAACGAGGAAAGTAAATGTCTGCTACTATTAAACACTGACATTTGAAGATGCTCATTACATGGCATCATTATAGCAGCCGTTGACTAATAGCTTTTCTTCACATATAATTTATGCTGGGTCTAGTAAGCAAAATACACGAAACAGAGCTGTGATAGTTGATTGGGAATGAGAGGCTCAAATCACCACTTGCTTTAACTTCTCTCTTACCTATTCCTGGTGGCCCTGGTTTGAAAAATATTCAGTGGTTAGCTGGGACTATAAATAGATTTTAAGTGGAGGGTGTGTGCATGGTCTAAGGCCAGTCTAGTAGTGGGGGGTGAACTAGAAGAAGATGAGACCAATGGGAGAGGGAGAGAGAGACAGAGAGAGAGAGAGAGAGAGAGACAGAGAGAGAGAGAGAGACAGAGAGAGAGAGAGAAATGCTGGAGACCCAAAGCAAGTAGCAGAAGAGAAAGAAAGAAATGGTTTTAAGACATTTATCGGGGTCACTGACATGACAAGATCACGTGGGAAAGTGTTGGAGGAATGAATGGTCTCTCCCAGGTATTAATCACCCATTGAAAACAACAGAGATCTAACATTTTCACCTTACCATGAGGCTGTTTTAAGGCGTTTGTCAGGCTACACAGTGAGGTGACTAACTGAGCTTCTACCACATATCCCACAGTGGCAGACACACAGCACACATGGCACACGAGGAAAAGTTGGATAAAATGACGAAAACTTGACAAGCAGGCAATATTAACGAACTGTACCTCAGTTAGTTGGCTTTCCTCTTGTTTACATTTCAGTTAGAATAAGAATATGAACGATGATGATGAGAATGAGAATAACTACTTCAAAATCATGACTTCTCTCTCTAAGGAAGGAGAGGAGACCCTCAACCCATCAGCCTGATAGACTGAAATGAGAAACCACCACAGAATTTTGTAAAAAATAAGGAAATTACGGTGTTCATTATCAACCAAGTAGGGGACAAACACTCATTCTGGCATTACATAAAAAGGTCACTAAAGAGAAGGTAATATACAGTTGTAGAGACCCTTTGCTTTATGTGGGCTCTCAACAACTTCCGTGGGAAGCCATCTGGCTCCACACACACGTCAATCTCTCGGGAACCGTGCGAATCAAGGGAGCACCCTGAGTGGTATCGCCAGATGGGAATGACGATGGGTCAAAGAGGAATTGGAGACAAGTGCTCCCGCTCGGGAAGATCTCAGTGGAGGCCAAAGGGTATAATCGTCTGGCTTCCTAATTGATCTTCTCATAACAGCCCCCTTAGATCTCAGTGCTGAATCAGAGCATGAGGCGTCACTTGAAGAAAGCTGGTGCGTAGCCCTGGATCACAGGGCACGTCTGCTTTGATGCGCAGGGTTTGCAGACTGGTGAACTGGGAGCTTGAAGTTTCCACATTGAAGGAAACACCTTTGATATAAGCCTTGGGGCTGAAATATCAAGAAAAGGACTTCTGAGACTCAATTGATGATAAAAAGCCCTACCCTGTTTTAACTTACTTTTGTGTTTGTGAAAAGAATGGTGCCAATTATTCTGTTTGCTACGCCTGTTGGCTGTTCCTAGTGGCGGGTGTCCATCCTTCACTGTAAAAGAAAGCTTATCCACAGAGACATGTCAAATGAAACTGGTAAGGAAAGGGGAAAATACCAAGAACCTTAGAACCTTCAGGAAATGATGCTACTTAAATAATATTATCGATAAACTAGGAAGCACAAATATCCGGCTGCTTTAGTAAATGTGTTAACAGTGAGGTTAGAGGGTCTGTCATATTAAATAGGATGAACTCCAGTTAATAGTTGCAAGCAATGAGAGTATCCAAAATAAAGCCTCCTGGGTTTAAAATTCAGAAGACAGTGGGAGAATAGGAGGTCATGAGTAAATCTGAGATGATGCGAAGGTTTGCAGTTATTGGAATTGTAGGATATAGGACATCTTCAGTGGAGAAAAGGATATCAAGAAAATAAATGACCATCGTGTTGGAATGATCAGATATGAATAGGTAATTCACAGAAAAAAATGTAAACAGCCTTTAAAACATTGGAAAGATGTTCAAGTTCATTTAGATTATAGAAACTAAAATTACAACTGTAATGAACATAAAGGGATACCATGTTTTACTCACAAGATTGTCAAAAGCCAAAAGACTTACTTACAGCCTTTGCTGGCAAACCATATTCCCATACATTGCTGTAGACATGAAAATAATTTTCTATTAGAAGTGAAATAAAAATTATAAAACTCAGAGGGGCCTTTTTGAACCAACGGTGATGATGTGTCATGAAGTGAGGAGAATGATTCACTCAGCAATGCACCTGAAGTTAAAAGATTTTTTTTTAATATTTTTTATCTTTTAATTACAGTTGACACACAATATTATTACTGGAATATAGAAAGTGATAGTTGAATTTAAATATGAAATATGTTTAGCATCAAACTTCCCAATTATACTATATATAACATATTTTTGCTGTTTATATGCCTTTAGCACAATGTACAATGTATCATGTAAATTATTTATTTATCAAACATTTCTTAATTTCATGCTTCATTCTAAGGACTGCATTTGGTTGTTGTAAATATAGCAGTCAGTCAAATCTATATCGTGCCTTCCAGCAGCCCATAACCTAGTGAACAGACAGAAGCTGAACACACAGTTTCAAAACAGAACATTCAGTGATAGAACGATACACATGTTGGTATGAGAAAATTTGGCTCAGATAAGTTTTCAATTAGAATAGAAGTATACATCTGCAATTCAAAAGTTTTCGCTATACACTTCAGGCACTCTCTCTCTCTCTCTCTCTCTCTCTCTCTCTCTCTCTCTCTCTCT